CTTTACCAGTGATTGTTGTTCCATAAAGCTGTGTCTATATATCGTACTCACAATTGCTAAATGCCATTCAAAGACTTTATTTTTATTACTTAACCAACTTTCGGAAGCACTGGCCTCGGGCATCAGAATTGTTATTACCTTGAGGCAGATTGCAGCATTAAGCAATATTTGTATTTGTTGATGCCAGTTGATGCCAATCTGATTGGCTCTCGATTAGAAATTAATGGGTGTGCTGTAAACGTTTGGAGGTCATATGGTGTCAAATGGCCTGTTGAGCAAAGATATGTTTAGGCCTACTCACTTAACAGATGCAATTAATCATGAAGATGAAAATCAAACTATAGCTAGATATGTATTCCTTTACTTCCAGTTGCTACTAGAGGCAGTATCCTGTACTTCTTGATAGTTGAGATGTCTATGGTAAATGTGATGTACCAGACTTCATTGAAACAGTTCTTGGAACTCTTTGATCTATCAATGGCTAAATCTCAGAAATCCCCTATTACTGGGAAACGTATCAATAATATCATTGAGTATCTGAATCTGTCGGTGTTTAGATACACAGCTCGAGGTCTGTATGAGAATGACAAGTTCTTGTTCACCATCTTGATGACTCTGAAGATTGAAATGGCTGCAGGACGAGTTAGACCTGAAGAATTCCAAGTCTTTATCAAGGGTAAGTAAATGTGCTTTTGGATTCCATAAAATCCATGGCCCAAGTCACAAATAAAAAGGTTTCATAATAAATGTCAAAAGACACCTTTGAGAACTCAGAAGAAATGAATTTTCCTTGAATATTATTGAAATATGATGCCTTCTCAACTTTATTTATTATTGTGTTTGTAGGAGGTGCTGCATTAGATCTCAATGCTGTAGAGCCTAAACCTAAGAAATGGATTACTGATATGACTTGGTTGAATCTGGTAGAATTAAGTAAACTACCCCAGTTTACTCAGATACTATCTCAGGTTGCCAGAAATGATAAGGTAAGGCACAATGAGTTTAAAATTTAACTTGTGGGATCCATAACATTCAATTTCATATTTAAACAGAAGCATTCTGGGATGCATTTTCCAATGTGTCAATCTCCAAGAGCCAATTAGCAGAAGCCGATACATTTCAGGTTCTGTTTTAATATTTCCATATTGCTCTAAAATTGTATAATATTGTAACTTTTGATTAATACATATACATTGTTCATATTAAATTTAAAAAAAAAACAATAATTTATTATTTATCCATGTTGATTACAAATGTTAAAGGTCATAACTTGTATTATCTACTTCCAAATT